TGTGTCGATGAAGTACCTCATCTACTGTGTGAGGCACATGTTTCTCAGTTCCAGTACCACTCCTAGTGAAAGCAGCTTTAACTTTTGCAGCAGTTTTTTTTTCAGAATATATTCCAACAGTATTTGAAACATTATTCGGAGGAAACTTCTGTGGCTGAGATGCTTCAACGACACCAAAAATCTTCTTCAAAGAATGAGGCTCACTGGCAGTGGTAGTTGCCGCTGGTTGTGTGGCTTTATTATTTGTAGTTGGACCATGCAAAAAAGCACATCTGTCACCTTTAATGCAAAGCCCTTTTTGGAAGAAAATACACGGTACCGGTTGTTTGCTGGCGCTGTAAGAAGCACCCTGGTTGTAAGGCATATGACTAGCAACTGCAAGTGCTGTAGTTGCTGCTGTGAGCAACAAGGGCTTGGAGGAACCTGTTGGCGTTGTTGCTTGGGTTCCCAACAAGCCATCCAGGGGCTGAAAAGACAACACCGGAAGAACAAGAACATTGTCAAAACCAGTCCAATGTACATCACAGTATAGGTGAAATAGCTGGATATAGTGCCGAGAAGACTCCCTCTGGAAGAAACCTGTAAGACTAGCATAACACAGATTATAATACTGGTGCGAGAGAAGAGAAGAAACTTACAGGATGCCGAAATCCGCATTTTGGGTTCAAGCAATTCCCATTCAACCAGTAATAACAATCCCTTGGATTAACCCGGGCATATTCACTGTGGCGATACTCGCATTCACTTCCCTATTGGCATTGAAAAGAAAAGAAATATAAGTTCTGGCAGCGATCATTGATGTCAAAAAGCGAATAGAAGCACGTTAACTACGGTCACAGCATCTTACAATCAATGAAGTAAATCATAAGACAACTCGATGCCATCTAAAACAATTGGCTCTTATCCATAAACAAAAACGATGGAGATGTGTATCTAAAGCTACTTCACAACTGGCAAAACAAAGAACTTCACAATTGGCTTTTAATCCAAAATGCAGTGAGACAATGACAGAAACAGTCTCGGAGTGACGGTATTTGAGATGATGCATCGAAACATTCCATCATAGCTAGCAGAATAAGTGCATCACAATGACAAAACAACATATTCTAAAAATACTTTCCTTTTAACAATCAGATCGAGTTTTTCCGAAGGAACATCAATGTTTCCCCATCTTCTAGATGAGTAACAGTTCCAGATCAAATACAACACGGTACAAAATCAATTCCCCAAAACTAACAATAATTCGACTAAGAAAACCCTAGATTTCCAGATGAATAACTAGGGCTTTATCACTAAGAAACTAAGATGAGTTAGCAAGATCTAAACTTATAACAGCTCAAAACACAAACAAATAAAATCAATTTTCCGATTAAACTTATTTATTTCTCATCCAAAGTTAAATATATAACTAAACAAACAGTAATCGAAAAGTGGGAGTGATTGTTAAATCTAAAACCCTAACTGAAGTACCAAAACAAGATCCCAGAAACGACAAGATCTTTGTTTCAAACACCAAGGGGAAAAAGAAAACCTTTTTGCAGGTTAAAGGGGAAGCGAGAAAGTAAACGCAGTCCGTATTTCTCTTCAAACCCTCTTCTTCGGCCGATGTTTTTGTAGCACCCGCCACCGTCACCGTCGTCGCCCCCGTCGCCTGTTGCTGTTGTTGTGGCGTAGCCGCTACCATAGCGGATTCTTCAAAAACAATAATATATATATAAAAAATCACCCAAAAAAAGTAACAGAAGAAAAGATCCTTCTTTTATTAGATCGAATCTTTCAAATAAGGCTTCAATATTATGCACTGAAGAAGAGAGGATGAGCCGCCTCAAAAGAGATTAGGGGGCTGAAGGGATGAAGGTAAATTATATAAGAAAACTGAAAGGCTGGCTGTAAGCTAGAAAGGAAGAAAATTTAATGGAAAAGATAAATTTTAAAAACAAATAATGAACCAAGTTGGAGAAAGAGAGGGGAAAGGGGAAATTGTAATAAGAGATTTGAGTGGGTGATGTGTTCTTTATGTCACATACACAAACTACGGGTGTAAACGAGTCGAGTCGAGTTTGAGTATTGTTGAATTTGATTCGAATTTAAAAACTTTAAAAGTAAGTTCGACTCGAAAATTCGCGAGCTAAAATTTATCAAACCCAACTCGAACTCGAAATATAATATTAAAACTCGACTCGAACTCGAAAAGGCTCGATCTCAAAAAAAATTCAAGAGCTCAATTGAAGTTCAAGACTCAAGCTCGATTCAAGCTCGAACACAAACATTATCTTTTTTTTAATATATATATATACACACACGAAGTTCTTTTTAAAAATTTAACTTAATCATCGTATTATTTTGTTAATGTGGTTTTTTGACTTAAAAAAATTAATTAATGTTTTTTTATCATTAATCAATATTAGTATAAACCTTATGTTATTTGGTTGTTTTAAGTTAACTATAAGTTTCTACAAATAATGTATTTATGATTATTTTCTTTCTCTTTCAACAACTTTTCATGCGATTGGAAGCAGATTATTTTATTATCTACTAATAACCACAAGCGGTATTCTCTTTATAATATATTTAAGAAAGCATCAACGTCAGCATGAATTAAAGGAGCCATTGGTCAATGACGAGAAACGTTGATCAAATGATCCATTAGTTCTTTTTCGAATTAGAAGATCATATTAAGAGAAAGAATGATACTGAGTGTTATATTATTTCTTTTAAAAGTACAGAGACTCCCAGTATCTTTTCATATTTTTAATTATTTTTATTTTAAATAATTATTTAATAAATATAAAATTATCATTAATTTATTTTCGGTAAACTACTCATTTAGTATATAAACTATCAGTTTTAGTACCTAAGCTTTTAATTTTTTTTCAAAAACTACACCTAACGTTTAATTTTCATTCATTTTAGTATCCCGCTGTAAAAACTTAACATGTTTAGTACCTAAACTATCAGTTTTGGCTAGTTAGTACCTAAATTTCAATCTTTCCAAAACTTAACGTTATATTTTGAACATGATACTAAAATGAAACAAAAACTGGAGTTTTAAATGATGGAGTACTAAAATGAAACAAAAAGCTAAATTTTAGATATGATTTTGAAAAAATTAAAAGTTTAAGGGTGCGTTTGGTTCATTGAATGTAAGATTACCAGTGAGAATGTGAGATTATCAGGGAATATGATTACTGAGAATGTTATATTTTGTGTTTGGTTGGTTTAGCAGGAATGTAAGATTATCGTGTTTGGTTAAAGGGATAAAAGATTATTAGAATGTATATTTGACCAAATTGTCCTTATTATATATTTATTTTTTATCAAATTGGAAAATATTTATATATTTTCTTTAAAAAATTTAAATTCAAAAAATTTATATACTTTTTTTTACAAAATTGAAAATATAAAAAGTTTTAATGAAAGGGTAAAATTTTATTTTAACCCCTGAACTTCATATAAAATTTTAATTATAGATTTTTTTGTAGATCTAAAGTAGTTTAAGGATAACTTTGTAATTTAACCTTCGTAGAATTTTTATTATTCAATGACAGAAGAATGATATTTTTGAAAAAAAATTAAGGGCATTTTAGTCCAAAACGCTGGTAATCCAACAATACCTAAAAAAATGGAGGTAATGACATTCCCTATAATATACCTAAAGAATTTTGGTTGGCCGGGATTCTCTTTTTCGGTAATGTTTTATTACCAATAGTAGATTTTTTGGGGCATATTACCAGGAATGTCATTACCTCCCTTCCCTTAGGTATTGTAACATTACCGGCGTTTTTGACTAAAATGCCCTTAAATTTTCATTTTTTTTTCAAAAATATCATTCTTCTGTCATTGAATAATAAAAATTCTACGAATGTTAAATTACAAATTTATCCTTAAATTATTTTAGATTTACAAAAAAAATCTATAATTAAAATTTTATATGAAGTTCAGGGGTTAAAAATTTTTTTACCCTTTCATTAAACCTTTTTTATATTTTTAATTTTGTAAAAAAATTATATAAATATTATGAATTTAAATTTTTAAAGAAAATATATAAATATTTTACAATTTGTAATATTATACAAATATATAATAAGGACAATTTAGTCAAATATACATTCCAATAATCTTTTATTCATTTAATCAAACACTGTAATCTTACATTCCTGCTAAACCAACCAAACACAAAATACAACATTCCCAGTAATCCTATTCCCTGGTAATCTTTTATTCCCACTGGTAATCTTACATTCTGTGAACCAAACACACCCTAAGTATTAAAAATACTAAAACTTATAGTTTAACCACTAAACGCGTAAAATACTAATTTATTTTGTTTATAAAATTACTAATTTTATTTTAAAAAATATTTAGAATTATGATAAAAGTTCACATATGAAAATAAAAAAAACACAAATCAATATATTTCAACGATTAAATGAATTATTGTTATTCTTATAGATTTTAGGTTCAAGCACCATAGATTATAGAAATATTCGTATTTTTATTTTCAAAGGCGAGTCACATAAAAAAATTATTCATATGTCTAAATCTAATTCAAAGATCCAAAAAAAAATTAAGATGATAACAAATAAAATTAATAATAAATAAAATTAATAAATACGAGCAACATAAAATTCCTACTAATGTTAAAGCAAGATACAACGGCGAGTGCTTTAATATCCCTTCCCTTTGGGTAAACTACACATTTAGTATTTAAATTATTAATTTTGGTATATTTTAGTAATTAAAATTATACCTAATGTTTAATTTTTATTTCATTTTAGTACCTCATAATTAAAAACCTAACGCATTCAGTACCTAAAATATCAATTTTGGTCTATTTTAGTATCTAAACTTTTAATCTTTTTCAAAACTTAACGTTAAATTTTAAACTATACTAAAATGAAATAAAAACTAAACCTTAGGTACTATTTTGAAATAAATGAAAGTTTAATTACCAAAACGTATTAAAAGTGAAAGTTTAGGTACTAAAATTATAATTTACACTTTTTCTTTTCGTTTCTTGTTGTTTAGTTCCAAAAGCCCAAAGCCCCAGACCCTAACCCTAATACTCCATTCGGACCTTGACTAAAGGCATCGTCTCTATTCCTCCTTGTTTTGCTACCAAGACGGATTCCGATGAAGGTTTCTCGGTAGTCCCAGAATCCTGTAAGGTAAGTTATTTACTTGAAACACCCGTAATTTTTTTAATCAATGTTCAAACTGATTGTTCCAAAGGAAAAAAATGGTGAATAACCACGCAATCTAGTGATTCTGATTTCTTGATTGACTGTCGATAGAGTTTTTTTTAGTTCGATTTTGTTTATTTTATACACTTTTACGGTATTTGATCCCGTTCCTATATTTCCTCCTCCAGGTATCATTGCTTGTATCATCGTTCAAATTCTTCATTCAGTTTTTTTCATCGATAATGCAGCCTCCTGTACCAGTGCCGCAGGGAACCATGTCGAGTTCTGGTAGCTTTTCCTTTTCTCCAAATCCTCAGTTGGTTCAGAATGCACAAAATCAACCCTCTAAATCTGTAAGACAATGATAAAGCACTGAGTTGTAATTTCACTTTGTCGGCTCGAGTTTTCAAAAATTTCAATGCTCATTACTTTTTGACCTACAACTAGTAGGATTTTCCGCAAGTTTGGGTTGTTTGTAGCAATATTTAGGAAGCTTTGCTGTGTCAAGAATATTTTCGAATGGAGGATGGGACATAAAATTTTGCGGATTTTTAAATATGTAGGAATTAAACAGTATGCCTCAATTTTAGGCTCTGTTTGTTGTCATCGGATTTCATTGAATGGAGTCTGAATGCAGTTATAGCCGTAGTTGATTAGGGCAGTACTTCCTAACATGGTTCCTGTTCAGCCTTTGAATTCTGTGCAATCTCTTTCAATCCCATTCTCAATTTAGTACTTCACTGCTTGCAAAATGACGTCTAGCAATTGCTTATGCATCTACAGAATGGATTTGATATGGAGTTTTTTGCATGCCACTGTCTTACTAGTTGAACTTTTTGGCTGATTGCAGGATACACCAGCCACTGGTACACAAGCTGCTACTGTATCATCTATGTCAACTGTTTCTCAGCCTGGCCAATTGCTGGTCCATAACTCTTCAGATATTACAATGAATGCATCTACCACTCCCAGTTTTGCTCCTATAACTTCACGGATACCCGCCACTTCATCTTTCCCCATGTCTAGTGGATCTTCAGGAACTCCAGGAGCACCAGCACACCCTGGGTTAGTACCATCTATCCAGATGATTACTGCCTCGGCTGCTGCTGATTCTCCCTCTCCTGCAGTTCCTGGACCCAGTGCTCCCGTTTCATTAAATCCAGCTGTCCAACAACAAGCATACCCTCCCTATACATCCTTACCTCCTATGGTTTCTTCCCCACATGGATTTTGGATGCAGCATCCTCTAATGGGTGGCTTTTCCAGGCCTCCGTTTGTGTCTTACCCTAGTATTTATCCCGGACCCTTTCCTCCAACATCAGGTGGTATGCCTCATCCTGCACCATCATCTGATTCTCAACCTCCTGGTGTTAGACTTCTGGGAATGAGTCCATTTGCACCATCTACTGCTGCTCTTGCTAACCAACCATCGGCAATACAGACAGGATTACCACAAGGAATTGGTACGTCTGGGTTTTCATGCTAGATTACTGATCAACTAACAATGTAAGAGCTGTTTAACCTTCATTAGTGTATCATGAAGTTAATTTTTTCTTCATTCGTATTTCATGGGGTTCTGCAGATAATAGGAAACTTGTCCATGATGTTGGCACCAAAGCTGAAACTGTTTTCAGTGAACAATCTGATGTCTGGACCGCCCACAAGACTGACACTGGGGTTGTTTACTACTATAATGCATTAACAGGAGAGTCGACTTATGAAAAACCTGCTGGATTTAAAGGGGAGGTACATGTGGATATGTTTTCTATTAGTAACTTTGTTGGGGTGAACCATTTTTTTTATTGTAGGCATTTTAATTGACTGATACGGTTTTCAACAAATTTCCCCAAATATTGGCCGATTAGCTTTCTTTAATGGATGCTATATGAAATTTCATATACAATAAAAACCCAGAAAATGTTGGAGTATCGAACGTTAATCATATTATGCTTTTTAAATTAATCCGAAAATTCCACATTGTTTAAGTTGATATAAAACTATAAAGATTTGCATATTCGCATTTGTGTTTACTTGTGGAGTATATATGATATTATTTCTGGCTCTCCACTAGTAGCTATATTAAAGTCGAAAATCAGTTTCTGTGGTTTTTGTGTATATAAAATTTTCTATGATCAATTTTCTCTGGCATATGTGTTTTCTGGTGGCTTCTCAGATGCTAATTCAAATTAATGCGATGCCAACTTTTTTCTTTCACTTGTCTGTGCAGCCTGATCAAGTTACTGTGCAGCCAACTCCAGTTTCCGTGTAAGTTATTTACTTTCACATCCACAAGTTGCTATGTGGCCTATCTCATCAGTCAGAACTGTAATATTGACATTGCTGAATGAAATATACTGTTAATTACTTGGTTTTTAGGGGGGGAATGAGCTCTCAATTATTTTCAGAACACCATAAAAATGCAAAATACTTAATAAACTTCAAAATATTCATTTATTTACTATTCTATTGTTGGATATTTTGCAAGTATTCTCTAAAAATAACTGTAAATTTGGAGATATAATAAGTAACTATAATTTTTTTTAAATATACCTAAAAGTAACTGTAAAATAGGAAGTAGAAAAGTTACATTTAAAATTTTCTTATTTTACTAGCAATTGTTTAAAGTATTCCCTAAGAATGAGTTACATTTTATTTTTAGTATTCTTTTGAAATTTAAGAGAATATTATGTTTTTCTTGAATTCTTTTGTAATATTATTAATCAGTATTTTAAAATTGGGTATTATTGTTTAAAATATCATTTAGTTATTTAATATGCTATATTGCAGTCAACCCTTTGTGTGTTGGATATCATTTTAGTGTCTGGAGAAATTGTCGTTCTTGGTAAAATTTCATCTTAAATGTCATGTCTCTTTTTTTATAGGGAGCAATTGGCAGGAACGGATTGGGCACTAGTTACCACAAATGATGGCAAAAAATATTACTACAACAGCAAAACCAAGGTAGTGTGTCCAGTCTAATTCACATCTCTAGCCTGTTTTACTCCAATGGGCTTGTTTAATTGAATTTTTAGTGTTAATTTTTTTCCTGTTAATAGAACAATGACATGCTCTTCTGCCATATATATGTGAATTGTTTTTACTCCAAGGTAGTGTGTCCAGTCTAATTCACATCTCTAGCATGTGTTCTTTTTTTGTGTACTCTTAAGTCGGTGCTAAACACATTCGTTTATAGGATATGAATGAGTTGTGTCTGGAATTTAGTGGGTTAGAAGTGGAACTATAAGGACTGTGTTACTTGTACTCGGGTGTAACTGTTGGACACAGGTATGGTTAGACTTTTCTAAGTTTTCCATATATTAGAAAAATCCTTGGAGGTCTTATCCTCATATCCAAGAGTCGGGTATGGGTACTTAATGAAAAATGAAGAGTCCGATCAACATGGATAAGGAATTTATGGTTATGGTTATAAATGAAAGATTTTCGTCTGGAATTTTGATTTGCAGTGGTCGGACCTTAAGAATTAAAAAGCTGCTGCAACACGGATTGTGATTGTTCTAAAATTTGGGAAACAGAAGATCCAGGGCTATATAGCCAAGCTATAGTTGCTGTGAAATGCTCTGTAAAAGTGTTGCTGGTATATGGCCACAATTGGGAAGAATATTGTGCTGTTCCTAAACGTTAAATAGTAAAGTGAAATGTGCAATCAAAATTGACAATTTTTTGGGAACCTTTTTTATTTATTCAAATTTCTTCTATAAATGTAATATGAAAGAAATGCCAGTTCCTTGCCTTTAATAAGAGGATCTATATACGGATTAGTCATTAATTGCTTTAACAGTAAAATGCTTTGCTGTTTGCAGACGAAACATAATAACCAATGCCTAATGGAGTTGACTTATGTCTAAACTGCCACATTCATCAAGCCTTGTGCATTTTCAAATTAGCAGATAATGATGTTTATGTGCTGTATTCCTTTTACCTCCATGTTGCTTTTGATGATGTGTTTCCCAGGTTTTACATTATCTTCATCCTTATGAGCCTAGTTTTATTAATCACCTTTTAGGATTTTAGTGAATTTTAAGGAAACAAATAATGGACATTGCTAAAACTGTTATGCTCATTGAACTTATTTCCTAGTTATTGATATGTTCCCACTTCTCATTGTGTTTTTATCCATCAGATTAGTAGCTGGCAGATACCCTGTGAAGTTACAGAGTTGAGAAAGAAACAAGATAGTGAAGTATCGAAGGAGCGTGCAGCACCGGTATCAACTACTGATGTAGTGGCGGAAAAAGGATCTACGCCAGTAAGTTTGAGTGCTCCTGCTGTTAACAGAGGTGGCCCTGATGCCATGCCTTTAAGAACATCAGTGGTGCCTGGTTCTTCATCTGCACTGGATTTAATTAAGAAGAAGTTGCAAGATTCTGGAGTTCCTTCTTCCTCAACTGTTCCTGTCATGCCTGTAACAGCAGCAAATGATTTAAATGGCTCAAAAGCAGTTGATGTTAAGGGCTTGCAGAGCGAGAACAACAAAGATAAGGTAAAAGATGACAATGGGGATGGTAACATATCGGATTCCTCTTCAGATTCTGAGGTCGCAGACGCTGGGCCTTCCAAGGAAGAGTGTATCATGCAATTTAAGGTATCTATTGTGCCATATTTTGTTGTGTATTCTCAAATTTGGTTATCCTTGGTTTTATTACTGCCATCCAATATTGTAGCTGGAGTGAATTGTTTATCATGCAAGTGAAATTCACAGGAAATGCTCAAAGAACTGGGGGTCGCACCATTCTCAAAATGGGAAAAGGAACTCCCAAAGATAATGTTTGATCCACGTTTTAAGGTTTGTTGAGGCTAAAGATTATCTATTATATTCTCTTGTTAGTTATAGGGAACTTACCTGCTTTTGGAATTCATTGACCAGTTATCATTATGAATCTTGTTGAATGAGAAAAAGGAATACTACTAGCCGTTGAACTATATGTCATTCTTAATTATGACAAAATGATCGCTTACATATGCGAATGATGAAATGAAGGGATCTTATTTTGCAGTTAATAATTAAGATGTGCCTTCTCTTTGTTGCATGCTCTTTTAGTTGGTAACAAATTTACTTTTCCTCTTTGATGTACTTCAATATGAAGTCATATTGTTGAGTTTTAATTTCTAAAAGTGCATCCTGTTGCAGTCTATTCCAAGTCATTCTGCTAGGAGATCCTTATTTGAACACTATGTTAAGACACGAGCTGAGGAGGAACGCAGAGAAAAACGAGCAGCTCAGAAGACTGCAATAGAAGGATTTAAGAAGTTGCTGGATGAAGCATCAGAGGTTTCTTAAATTGTCCAAAACTCAGTGTCATTTTTTGTTGCATATGTTGAAAATATTGCTTTGAAACTGCCAAACTGTAGATTTTTACAACCTGATATTTTTTTATTCTAAAGGATATTGATCACAACACCAATTATCAGTCTTTCAAAAGAAAATGGGGAAGTGATCCACGATTTGAGGCTTTGGACCGTAAGGATCGGGAACTTTTATTAAATGAAAGGTAACATTACTAGGATAGACTCAATCATTATTTTTATTTAGTGTTTGTGCTTTATGCAGAAGGTCGGCAGTAATGTGAAAGAGCTACGTGACTATTCCTCTTAGACATCATTGAAAAGCTTTTAACCTTTCTTCTCTACTATTAGCTTCAATTTTTTGGTTTCTTTTATAGACTTTTACAGCATATTATTTTCTTTCTTTTCCGTTGTGCCTTCATTTTGTTTTGAAGTAAGATAAATGTCTTGGTTATATCTGTTGCTTATATCCAATTTGTTGTGTTGATCTCTCTGTGCAACATGTGTTGTGCGATTATAATCGCATGTGGTATGTTTTGATTCCAATACTTGTGTAAATTTATGTTGAACTTGTTCGGTTGACTCTAGACGGAGATGTTCTAATAATAACATTGAAAGCAGCGTTTGTAAGCAGGTAGTAGGCTAGAGACCAGATTCTAAGATTCAATTTGGGTGTGTCCTTTAGGCTTATATCTCTTTTGGTTTGAATGGTTAATGCCTGAATTTTTCTTGTCCTTTTCTCGAACTGGTTAAGAAATGTTTCTGCTTCTGTCTCAGGGTTCTTCTTTTGAAGAGAGCAGCTGAAGACAAGGCTCGAGCCATACGTGCTGCTTCTTCTTCTAGTTTTAAGGCCATGCTTAAAGAGAAAGGAGATATCAATGTTAATTCCCGTTGGTCCAGGGTATGTGCAATTTAAATTTGGACATTTGGTTAGTGGTTTTTTTTTCTTACCTTATGGAGAGAGTATGTTCCTGAACATTTAGGCATCTTGCATATCTTTTGCATCTTCCTTGGGTTGCTCACGTTTACGAGTCTGCAAGCATGTAAAAGATAAAGAGAACTGGTTCTTATCATCTTTAATAAATATGATGGAAAATATGACCCATTTTCTTACCTTTTTTTTCAGGTGAAAGATAACTTGAGGAATGATCCAAGGTACAAATCTGTTAAGCATGAGGATCGAGAGGTTTTGTTTAACGAGTACATAACTGAACTCAAAGCTATGGACGAGAAAGCAGAGCGAAAGGAGAAAGTGAGAAAAGAGGAGGAGGTATAATTTCTCTCCCCCTCTCCCTCTCCCTCTCCCCTCTCCCCTCTCCCCTCTATCTTTTATGGCATAATCAAACTAGTATTATAAGTAAGTTTGTCCTGTTCCGCAACAGGATAAACTGAAGGAAAGAGAGAGAGAGTTGCGAAAAAGGAAAGAGAGAGAAGAACAAGAAATGAAAAGGGTGCGGCTTAAAGTTCGCAGGAAGGAAGCAGTTTCATCTTTTCAAGCTTTGCTTGTGGAAACAATTAAAGATCCCCAGGTATGTTTTTTTCTCTAACAAATTTTCAGATGATACAATACGAAATCAACTGTTGTTTTGAATTTATTAATATTTACTTTGTATGACCATATGTTTTGTGGAAATCTCACTTGCTTTGTTTCCTTGTTTTATAACTTGGATAAAGTCCCGAATCATTCAACGTCAAATTAAGGTCAAAATTCTTAAATGCTTGCTTTTGTTGGTTCATTTGGAATCTGTAAACAGTTGATGCCTTTCTTTTATTAATCTTTCTAGGCATCTTGGACTGAATCGAGGTCTAAGTTGGAAAAGGATCCTCAGGGACGTGCAGCGAACCCTGATTTAGATTCATCTGATATGGAGAAACTCTTCCGTGAACACATAAAAATGCTGTTTGAGGTAATCTACAACCACGCTATTATCAATAAAGAAACTGTTCATTTACGAGTTGAAGAAACGAAAGGATGGGAAATTGTAATTTTTAAGGGATTTATTGTGCATATCGTTGAACTTCTTTTAAACAACCGTTCCCGACATAACCCTTTGATTCGGCCTCCTGTAGAGATGCTCGAATGACTTCAGAGCTCTATTATCCGAAGTCATAACTCAAGATGCAGCTGCTCAAGAGACAGAAGGTGGTAAAACAGTCCTCGATTCATGGTCAACGGCCAAACGTCTTCTGAAGCCAGATCCCAGGTATAACAAAATGCCAAGAAAAGAGAGGGAAGTACTATGGCGCCGACACGCCGAGGATATGTTGCGGAAGCAAAAATCAGCGACTGATCAAGAGGAAGGGAAGCACACAGATGCTAAAGGCAGAAGCTCTGGTGGTGATTTTAGAAGATACTCATCAGGTGCCAGGAAAGTCCATGAACGTAGATAGCTTGGTTTCTTGGGGGGAAAACTAGGAATTTGTAGAATTTGCTGATATATATATATATATATATATATATATGAGTTAGGGTCTGGTTTAGTTAGTTTCCCCCATGCTGAAGTAAAACGGGTTAAAGAAATTCACCCATATATTTATCATGTAATCAATCCATTGAGTTCTAATATTGTTACAATTTCTGTAATCGGAATTTGTTTGAGATGCTTGAGATGTAGCTTTTTTGGTCATTTGGTCTGTTTTAGTACTAAAATTTTTAATTTTTTGAAAATCATACCTAACGTGTAAGTTTTGTTTCATTTTAGTATCGCGTCGTTTAAAGCTTAACGCGTTTAATATTTAAACTATCAGTTTTTGTTTATTTTAGTATTTAAACTTTCAATTTTTTTCAAAACTCAACTTTAAGCTTTTAAATGGGGTATTAAAATGAAATAAAAATTAAACTTTAGATATGATTTTGAAAAAATTATAAGTTTAAGTATTAAAATATATCAAAATTAATAGTTTAGATACTATTGAATATAAAATGATCACTCGATTATTTATTATATTCTAAGTTTATTCTTTTTCATTGAAAAATTGACGGTATTTTTAACTAAACGTTAACTAGTTGATTATGATATGATAAAATTTGATCCCAAAATCTCAAATGATTATTATATTTTAGTCATCATATTAACGTTCAACTTAGACAACGGTTAATTTTTTAACAAAAAAATTATGATTTTAAAATATAAAATAGTTGAATAACCAAAAATCGGAGGATTTAACAAAATAACATTTTATATTTAAAGAAATATTTTATAATTTTTAATAATAAAAATACTTAATAAAATAATATTTTATAGTTATTACCATTTTTACGGTTTACGCGAAAATGATAAAGCATTTATGGATATTTAAAAAAATTATAATTTCTGTGACTTTCTTCCTCTAACCCCCTGTCCATGGCATCCAAATTTCACAAATCGAAACTCAAAGCATATTAATTATTTCTGAGATTTGTCAGTTTATAGGGGTGAAAGAGAAACATCTCACAAACTTCATTGCCTTCACTGTATAGTTCTTCGTCTCTCAAGCAACAAGCACGGTGGTAGTAATAATAATAGCTGCAATGCTGTCAGTTCAGTGAATTTAGCATCTTTTTTCGTATTTTTGTTTTTGGACTGTTAGATTGAAAGGAAATCGGTCATCATTTTCATGGATTACGAGAGAATACAAAAGCCTCAGGTACGTATTCTTCTCGCAAATCTCCCCCTTTTTTACAGCTTTTTCTTCGTTCAATGCTTTGTTTCTTTGTTATTTTTGGTGAAGTGAGAAAGCGAGCTAGAAAGAAAGAGGAGATTTCGATTTCATTTTTCAAATTTACACATTTGCTGATCTTTTGCTCTAATCCATTTGTAACTGAAGAAAAGGAAATTCAAATATTTGTTTGTGAAAATGCGTAGAGCGGAGGTGGATTTTCCCCGGCTAAGCTAAGGACTATGCTATTAGGAGTAGAAAAAAAGAGAAAGCAACAACATGAAGAAGAACAAGCTGAATCTTCAATAGATTTAAGATCTCAACTTTCTCACCTTGATGATGATTCAGGTATTTTTCAATTTTATTTTATTTATTGTTTATTTATTTATTTTTTCATTTGATTCATATGAAAATAGATTCAACCACACAAAAAAAGTTGAAGAGAGTGGAAAGAGAGTAGAGACTGTTGATTTTTATTTTTAATTTTCTTTTTTGTGCAGGGAAAAGTTGTTCTGATAGTTGCAGAGATGTAGATGTGGTGAGTGTTCTTCCAGAATGTTCCACTTCTACAACAGCAGATTCCATGGCTGCTTTGCAGAATGGTGGCAACAGAAGATCAAAGGATCATTCTTTATGCACGACGCAGAACCAGTTCATCGAGGATCATCATGGTTTAGATTATGACAGTGGACATGACAACATGAGTGTGTCCTCATCAATCTTTGAGTTTCAGAAGACCGAACGGGAGCCGCAAAGGGTTCCCCTTGGTCCATTCTCTAAGCCAGCTCCATCTAAATGGGATGATGCCCAGAAATGGATAGCTAGTCCTACTGCGAATCGGCCAAAGGCAGGGCTGGCTGGCCAAGGGGTGGGATCAAGAAAAGAGGGTAATGTTGGTTACGGGAGACAGTCGTCTTCTAAGGTGGTTGTTGAAGTTCCAGATCAAAGGATGGTTCCTTTCGAAGAGCCAGATACAAAACGGGTCGATATGAATCATGCCAAGAAGGATGATGGGATGCAGAAGTTCGTGAATTGGGAGAGTGATTCATACCCGGTGACCGGTTGTGGATTCATATGGGAAGCCTGTACTGATGATTGAGAATTCTGTTGCAGAGAAGAAAGGGAGTAAGGTGTACAACTCATCCTATCAATAAATTTGTTGCTTACGGTAAACTAATGTCCAAGTCATTTACAGTCAAACTTGACAGCATCCGCATTCCAGAGATCATAGGAGAAACTCAAAAAATTCCCGAATGAAAGAAGGCAGTAGAAGAAGAACTTTCAGATCTTGAAAACAACAAAACCTGGACTATTTGTTATCTTCCTAAAAAAAAAAAAAAACAGTTGGTTGCAAATGGGTCTTCATAGTCAAATACAAGGCATATGGCAACATTGAACGGTATAAGGTCAAACTTGTGGCAAAATGGTTTACTTAAACTCAGGGAGTAGACTATCAAGAAAATTTTGCTCCAGTTGCAAAACTCGACACTGTAAGAGTACTTTTATCCTTAGCAGTTAATAAGGATTGGACCGTCAACTTGATGTCAAAAATACATTCCTCAATGGCAATCTTCAAGAGGAGGTTTATATGCAAATTCCACCAGGTGTGCAGATGAAATCGAAAAATCAGCAGGTATGCAAGTTATCGAAGTCATTATATGGACTAAAATAATCCCCTCGTGCCTGGTTCGATAGATTCACGAAGGTACTCTTACAAGACAACTATAAGCAATGTCAATCTGATCATATTTTGTTTGTGAAGACCAGTTCAAACAATAAAAGGACAATCTTAATTGTCTACGTTGATGACATCATCATCACTGATGATGACTTCAGAGAAATCGAAAATTTGAAGACATTGCTAGCAAGAGAATTTGAAACCAATGACTTAGGAACCTTGAGGTATTTTTTGGGCATGAAAGTGGCAAGATCAAAAAGAATGGATTGTCATAAATCAGAGAAAGTATATTATGAACTTGCTTTCTGAAATTGGATTTACAGATTACAAGCCTTCAGAAACTCTCATGGAAGCAAATCTAAAGTTAAAGGAAAATGGAAGTCCAGTAAACAAAGAACAATATCAAATGTTAGTGGGCAAGCTCATCTACTTGTCACTTACAAGACCAGACATAGCCTTCTCTGTGAGTATTGTGAGTCAGTACATGAATGATCTTAGAGAAAAACATTTGGAAGCAGTATATCGTATTTTAAGGTATTTGAAGATGACATTGGGTCATGGGTTAATTTTCAGAAAACATGAAGATAGAACAATCAAGATCTTCTCAGATTCAAGTTGAGCTGGAGAGTTAACAGATAGGAGATCAACAATCAATTATTGTTCGATTGTTTAGGGAAATTTGATGACTTAGAGAAGCAAGAAGCATGTCATAGTTTCTAGAAGTAGTGCAGAAACAAAATATCGGACAATGACACTTGGAATTTGTGAAGGCATTTAGTTACAACAACTCTTAACTGAGTTAAGAGTTAGCGACAAAACCCACTTTAAATTTCAAAGCAATAACAAGTCGGTTATAAACATTGTTAAAAATCTGATACAATATGACAAAATTAAGCATGTAAAGATAGACAAACACTTCGTTGCATAAAAGGTGAATGGTGAAACCGTAAGACTCAATTATGTCTCTTCAAAAGATCAATTAGCCGATATTTTGACCAAGATACTTTTAAGAATCATTTTCGACGATATTATATCCAAGTTAGGTCTTTACAACATTCATGGGGAGTGTGAGTTATGGTTTAACATTTATTTCCATCCTCACCATCATCCGATTCAGCGCCACCTTCGTCCACGGCGCCGGAAAAGATCGGACCACATTTCCGACGACTTCGCCTCGGCGTACAAGGAGCAAAACCCTGACCCTGGCCCTGGAAAAAACTCATCCCACCGATATGAAAACACGAACCGCAACATCTCAGTCTTGGAGAATTGTGAAACCTTCCCCCGCTGCTGCAAACGTGTTCCGAAACCCCAACCGACAAATTACAACAACGAGGCGACACAAAGCTTGTCATAGTACCCCGTAAAAATTTACGAAATTCCCAAAGCTTTAAAGGGAAGAAGAGAGTGAAAGTGAAGAACTTGAAACAGTGAAGATGGTTGAGAAGGAGAAATCTAATGAATTTAAACTAGAGAGAGATAGAGCCATTGAGATTGTTTTTGTTAGAGAAATGTGGGTTGGGTTTAGGATAGCGTGTGAGCCAATGATCTTCTCTTCCCCCACTCAATTAATCAACACCGTTGCCTTTCCCTCCTAAACTAAAACTGAGTTCGTTGGAATTTTCCACAGCAATTGTACTCGTAAATATACAGTTTTGGTTTCCAAACTTCTTTTCAAGATTCAATTTGGTATTCAAGTTTTTTCCCCTAGCTAAATACTTGAATTTGACTTTAAAGTCCGAGCCAATTAAGTAATTAAACTTGAATTCTTAGCACGAATCGAGTAGCTTCCGTGGTGAAGGAGATAATGTTATTTTTTGAAGACTCAAGTTCGAGCAACAAGAATGTCAATGTGTAGGTATTCAATTTTAAGAAGTTCATACTCATCTTTGAATAAATATTGCCGGGTATTTACCTTAGATTTATATAAAAAAAACTTGAATTCTTAGTTTAATTAAATAAGGCATAACGTCTAAATTAGGCCACAACGTTTATAAAAATGGTCATCTTGCCTTCTATTATATTTTTTGGAGCATTTTATCCATCAACGTTTCATTTAGGATAAAAAAGTCTCTAACATTTGATAGAATAATCATTTTGTCCATTATTCTTTTTTTTTTTGAAGCAATTTAGTCATCAATGTTTTATTTTAGGTTTAAAAAGCTCATATTTTAGAGTGTTAATCGTATGTTAACTAAAGTTTCTCATATGTATAGGGAGTTTTTTGCTTCAAAGTGAAACGTTGGAAGTCAAAATGTTCCGCAAAAAATAATAGGGGCCAAAGTGATCATTTTGGTAAACATTGGGGTTATTTTTGGAATTATGAATTCAAGTTTAGTAATCATATAACAGTTCGATAAATTTAATGATCATTTTATAAATTTTAAAAAATTTAAATAATCATCAATTTTTTAGCTCATTCGAATTCAATTGAAGTATAATATTTTACTCGTTATTTGATTTAACTTAAGTTAATAACAGTTCTATCCAATTCAAAACTGACTCGATTTTTAAAGTAAAAGCTATCTTATATATATATATTGTAATTTTTTTCTTAGGTAAAATAGGAACTTAATTGGAAAGTATAGAGAAAATATTATAACAATTATCTATAAATATATAAAAGATCAATGATATTTTTATTTTTCGATCGAATATTTTTCACTTTAAACTTGAATTCAATTCGACATCATCTTTCAAGAGATCAACCCGACTAGGATCTAAATTAATAAATAAATTAAAAAATCAAAATTAATCGATTTCGAATCAAATATTAATCCTTGATTATGAGTAGTTTAAGTATCTTAATCTATAACAAAGCAACTTTAATGAAAGTAAATATGAACCTTCAAATTCAACAATTTTGCCCAAAATGTATAAACTTATGTATTTATTGATGATCCTTTTAAACGAAACTCCAAAGCCAAAGTAGCAGTTCAATTAAAGCACAAAAATGCTCAAAAAATGATTCATCTAAAACCCTAATTTCAAACCCTCACCCCTTTTATTTTTCTCTTTCAGAAATGATTAATGGTAGCGATGATGATGATGCAGCAGGCGTCACCGCCGAATCCTCCACCACCTGCTTCCGACGCTTCACTTAGATCCCCTACACCAACTCCCACGCAATCCCCTCTGCCTCTCCGCCCGCGTCAGCCCCTCGAGCATTTCGCTGTTCCGATCTCCGCCGCGCATCCTTCCGGTGAGCCTCTCGTAAACATGGGGACTACCCAACTTCCACTCGCCAGGGTTAGGCTATCAGATATTTCTCCCTATGATGGTGCCCCATCTGCTTCCTATGTGAGGGCCGTAGACACTTTTTCCGGTTCTTTGATGCGGCATAATGCGGTGGTGATTGAGTTTGGGAACGAGGATGCTGCATTGATGCGTTGCGCGCTGGAAGCCGCGCGGTTGTACTTTAGGAGTAGGGTAAATACTGTTGGAAAAGGAAGCCGTGGGGTTTATATGTATAGGGCTGGAAGGTATGTGTGTTTTCTTCTGTCTGCTCTATTGGAAAAAAATATATATATATTGCTTTTTCTGTTCAAAATTACTTTCAGTGTTTAAACTAGCTAAAGTTTGTCTCTTTGCTCCGTATAACAATAATTCTTCAGGTCTGGCAATTGAGCTTATTGCTAAAGCTCGTTAATTATTGAAACAGCATTCACCATGAGTCAGATTGCTTATCAAAATATTTGAAAACCAAGAATACTATATGAAGAACACATATTGATTTAAAAAAAAATTATTTATGTTAATCTTCTATGTCTTCCCTAGTTGCTATGCAATTTTGCAGCATTGTTAGTAATAACTAGAAGTAGTTTTGTTGTGGACCTTTTCACTTAAATATTTTTTGACACAATAGTTGTACCTTTTTTCCATATGAAGAATCTTGTAAGTTATAATCTCTTAACTGACGCAATAGTTTATACATATAAATATATAATTACTTTTTGGACAATTGGTGACAAATCATTGGCTTCTTGTGGTAGAGCTTTGGAAGATTGTGACTCGTCTCCACCATGCATGGCTGATATATTTAGGTGCATGGGGAAGGCAGCTCGTGTTGCTTTATCTGCAATAGCAAGGCACCTGCGTTTACAAAGCGAGTAAGGATGGTGATGTTGATGATGAATTATTATATTCATTAATTTGCTTAATTTTACTTTCTGCCTAAGGCATTGGTTTTGATACTAAAATGCAAATTATGTATTATACTTATACAGCGTGTTCAATCATCTACTTGACGATACTCCATTACCTGCTAACGAGGTGTCTTCATCAGTGCTTGTTGCAACATACTCTCACATATCTTTGCAAAATGGAAAGGGGGCTCTTGGAGGAGGGAAGCTGGGAACAACTGCTGAAGTTGAGAAGGGGTTATTGACATTGATTTCTTCAGATGGTGCTGGTCTACAGGT